AATACTGCAGTTGATCTAAAAAGATTCCAGTCAGCATGTTCAAGTCTCCATCTCTGCACTCCATTAGCTGGAATACCATTCACCTCTTTCAAAAGTATTGGAAAGTGGTAACTTCCATGTAAGTCTTCCATGACCTCCCAAGTGAAATTCAACGGGGAATCCGGTGAACCAACTGACAAGTCAATATTGGAGAATGTCCCAGTTTGAATTTGGAAATGTGTGGGTGCATCACTGTTCAGTAAAACTGCATCTACTCTTGAGAACAAGGACTCCAAGGCCCTTCCTCGAGGGTTGCACAAAGTGCCTCCCCAGAGGTGATGGCGACCATTGAAGTCTCCCAAGAGTAGGAATGGATGAGGCAACTGCCCAAGTAGATCTTCCAAATCATCTATGTTAAAATTATGCGGAGGGAGGTAGATGGATGCAATAGTGTAAGGTTGTGTCAAGCCTATCCTCACAGCCTTCACCTGCAGTGTTGTGTGCAGGTGGATGGCCTGGAAACTGGATAACAATAAGCTATCAGATGTTACAATTCTTCACATTTTGCGTGAATTCCCTGACAATTCCATTGGATTAGGGTATCCAGTTCTTCAGGTTGACAAGCTACTTCATAAGGTGTTTGGCAGCACCTGTGGTTAAGGTCTGCCCCACACCTTTAGACTGTCCCTTTCCAGTATCTTGGGGATACCTTTTTATGGGTTGTTTACCTGTGGAACTAGTTTCGACAGGCTTCTTTTGGACAGACTCAGGATTTCTTTGCTTGGGCAAAGGACGGACCTGAGCCTTTGCTTCAGGGGCATCCTGCGAATGTGGTGGCAGCTGAAGCTGTCACCATTGAGGCCTCTGGAGCCTTACCTGATGGCTCCAAAGACCTTACTTTGGGAGGAGGAGTCTCCTCAATAGACCCCTCACTCCTACTTCGTTTCTGGTGGACCAACTCACCAGAATCAGTTTCAGCATTTGAGGACTGATGTTTAACGGTAGTGGCAGAGTGTGTGGTGGTAGAAATATTGGAGGGTAAGGTATGGCGGGAAGGAGGATGGGCTAGAACCGAAGCAAAGGACTTACCCGTCTGTGCAAACAGCACACGGGCACGTCACTTTGCTTCTGCAACATTAGCTTTCTCCTTGCTCCTTATTACTAATACTTCTTTTTCAAATCTGTACCTTTTACATTACTTAGAAGCTTCATGATCTTCTTTGCAGTGGTAACAGCATATTGGACCTGGAGAGTTGTCATCTCCTTGATGACCTGTTGTACCACACTTCACACACACTCTTGGTTGTCCATTTTCCTTAAAACGGCAAGAGTTGGCTCTGTGCCCATAACCCTGGCAGTGGAAACAGCGCATAGGGTTTGGTACATATTGCTTTACCTTGAGGTGGTACCATGCCAACTTAACCGATTCAGGAAGGACTAAGGATTCAAAAGTTAGAAGAAGAGCTGGTGTCGACTGTTCCATACCATCAACTTTCTTCTTAAAACGTTTTACTGCTACTACATTAAAATTCTTCAATTCTTCTAACAGTTTCTCCTCAGAATACCTCATCAGGTCTTGGGAAAAGACAATTCCCTAACACTGATTGAGGGTTTTGTGAGGAGAACATGAGACTTGAGCCCCAGGAATGTCGCATATTGTACACAGACGGTCACTCTCATCTGGTGATGATACCTCAACTATCAGGCTACCATCTCACTGTGGGGTGATGCGAGGATCACGTTGACACACCTCAACTATCTTCCATTGTACTTCAAAAATATCAAGATCCATGATAGATACACCATCAATGGTCTTCACCACTAAGTATTTACTATAAGATACACTTTCGTATTTACCAGGTAAGATTTCCTTAATGGACTGAGGAGGACTTTTCTCCTTACCTGGTTTGGGAGCTTGGGAACCATTACGATTCCCATTTTTGCCCTTTGGAATCTGGTAAGGTTCCAGAGTGACAATATGTGATGTTCCAGAGGGATTGGCCAGGGGATTGCGAATGTTGTCAGGGAGAGAGCAAGTTCTTTTTAAATTTGTAGTAATCATACAAATTAGAAATCTTTATTTCCTCACCCCCCCACCCACCATGGGTGCACCTGGAAGCCATTTTGTCTCATCCCTCACTGGTGACCCCTCCAGTAAGGGTAGCCCTCTGGTCCGGCTCACCAGATCATTGGGACCTGACGCGGCACGGCGGCTTCCGTTAGGGGGGAGCCTGGCGTGAAGCATGTATGGGAAAGCCCCTGGGAGCCCCGCGGGAAAGCCCCTGGGAGCCCCGCAGGCTGATGATGGGACCTGCAGCCGGCCAACCTTGTCTATTTGGGGTGGCAGAGGTGGCACCCACCCGGAGTGACTGCCTGACCTCGGGTGGGGGCGTCGAACGTTCGTTCCTTGCAACAGGACGATCAGTTGCCACTACTGTCGAGGGAATTGAAGCAGCTGAGAGTTGAGGTGGCTGCTCTCTCGGAGGTGAGGAGACCTGGTAGCAGCACAGTTAGTGTGGATGGCTACACCTATTACTGGTCGGGCCATAGTGATGGCCACCATCTCCAGGGAGTAACCATAGCCATCTCCAGCAGACTTCAACCCTTGGTAGTAGAGGTCACTCCAGTCGATGAGTGTATTATGGTATTAAGACTGAAGCTTTTATTTGGCTTCATGTCTCTTATTGCTGTGTATGCTCCTATGGATGTATATAAACTTGAGGTGAAAGAGATGTTTTACGCCAAACTTGCATCTGTGAAAGACAGTTGTCCTCAGCGAGATATTCGTATTGTTCTGGGTGACTTCAAAGCAATATCTGGCTACGATTGAGCTGGCTATGAGATGTCAGTCAGTCCTCATGGCTCCGGAGCTGGCTACGAGATGTCTGTCGGTCCTCATGGCTCAGGAGCTGATGCTGGCAGTGAGAATAGCCTCCTTTTCCATGACTTTGCTAAGTCCCAGAAATTGAGGATCTGGCTCCTGGTATCAGCACTCTGACCCACATCGTTGGAAATGGTACAGTGATACGTAGTGTGGCCAAGGAGATCGACCACATACTTGTTAGCACTTGTTGGAGGGTCCTCCAGAACTGCAGGGTGTATCGAAGCGCCGAGTTCTGTGGAACCGATCATAGATTAGTTGTGGCTACACTCCAGGTCCACTTTAGAATGCTCTGTCGCCCAAGTGAACACCCTAGGGTGTTTCACTTGGACAGATTGAGGGAGGATGGGTGTACCTGGGGGTTTGCCAAGGCTATCTCTGGTCTTTCACAGCACTTAAGGGCCTGACAGACCCTGTCCTTCTCTGGGACACCTTCAAGTGTGAAACGCTGGACGCAGCCCATGAATCAGTTGGTGAACGCCCAAGAGCAAGACAGAATTCCATCTCGTAGGAGACACTGGAAGCCACAGATGCTTGTCGTGCAGCTCGATTGTCAGGCGATCGCAACTTGCATCATTCTCTGGCGCGTAGGACTAGGACACTGTTGAGAAGGGATAAGGAACAGTTTATCAGGAATCTTGCAGAGGAAGTCGAAAGCCATTTCTTAGTAAATGACCTTCGCCCAGCCCTGAGAAAGCTTAACTCCAAGCCCTCCTCACAGACGACTGCAGTCTGCTCAGCAAATGGCCAGATAATCTCAGATCCTGATGGGGTGCATGTGCATTGGGCTGAGTATTTTGAGCAGTTCTATCAGGTTGATCAACCAACAGTTAATATCGATGCAGGGAATGTCGAGATTCCTCTGCCTGACCCACCCATCAGCGAGGATCCACCCTACCTGACTTGAAGTCAAGGGAGCGATCTCCAAGCTGAAGATTGGAAAAGCAGCAGTTAAAGCAATTGTTAAAGGCTGGTGGAGAACCTATGGCAAGGGGCTTGCATACAGTCCTGTCTGCCATCTGGCAGACCAGTACCATTCCCCCTGACCTGCTGAGGGGTGTGGTCATCCCTCTCTGGAAGGGGAAAGGGGATTGGTGGGACTGCAGCAATCACCGAGGCATTACACTACTCAGTGTACCAGGCAAGGCACTTGCACACATCTTACTGAGACGTATCAGAGACCACCTCTTGAGTCACCAAAGGCCAGAGCGATCGGGATTCACTCCTGATAAGTCAACAATAGACCACATCCTGTCATTGTAGAGCGCCGTCGTGAGTTCAGTCGTGGGCTGCTTGCAGCCTACATCGACCTTAAGAAGGCGTTCGATACAGTGCATCGCAAATCACTCTGGGAGATCCTGAGGCTAAGAGGAATTCCAACAAGGATTGTTGGATTAATAGCAAACCTGTATACAGGCACTGAAAGTGCTGTGAAATGTGGTGGGGGCCTGTCAAGCTTCTTCCCTGTTAGTTCAGGGGTGAGGCAAGGCTGTGTTCTTGCACCAACACTTTTCAACACTTGCATGGATTGGATACTTGGTAGAGCTACTATCCAAAGTTACTGTGGAGCAACTCTGGGCAATATCAAGGTTACTGGCCTTGACTTTGCTGATGTTGCCATTTTATCTGAATCTCTGGAAACCCTAGTGGCGGCTCTTGATGCATTTAGCGATGAAAGGAAGCCCCTGGGGCTAGAGGTCTCCTAGACCAAGACCAAGATCCAGGACCGGCACAGGACTTGTTACTTGCACAATCCGTGATCGCCAACTCAAGCTATACGGCCACTTGGCTCGACTCTCGCAGAAAGACCCTGTGTGTGTGTCTATGTATATATACTTTTTCTTTGTGACGTGAGACTAGTGTTAGCGCACCGAACCGCGGTTGATTAGGAAGGGCATCCAATCAGGCAAGGGTGGCACTGCCATATAACCTCTCAGTAAGTGAATTGAGAGAGGCCTATATCCTGCAGTGGAATGAATGGCTGTAAAAAAAAAATACATTTATATATATATATACATATATATATACGATTTTTATCTCTATTTATATATAGTCTATGTACCGTATATACACCTAATTATAATATGTATTTCAGACAATGATTCTACTTTTGGTCATGATATACATGGTCGTGTTAATC